AATCAATGCGCAAACGGAGAAATTCGATTCGATTCGACTGGTCACAGGCGGACGACGACTTACTTTGCCCCTCCTCCCTCCCCCCTCAGCTTTCTCTCTTTTGACCAGCTTACTACCACGGTCGTTTGAAGAATTCCCAAGACTTCCTCTTTTATGTATGTACGTACGCCTTTATAGGCGATTCACTTTATTCTACAATCTGCCACTCCGCTTTACAAGCCTCGGATATCTCGGGCCTTGAAGTTGCCACGAGGCTTGAATTATCGAACGCGTGATTTTTCTCTCTCTCTCAGTCGGTCTCGAACGGACCGCCATCGTCGTTCGGTGATCACGCGGTAAGATACCGTATAAAATATATATCGAGCCGAGACCTTGGAGAATTAAGATCCCCAATGTGTCACTGCCTGAAATTTGCTCAGGGTTTTGTTTCACCTACAGCTTCGCGAAAGACACAGGCCAATCTTCTTCCTTCCGTGATATTTTGTAACTACCATTCATTTCATTGAAGATTTATTAATTCGAATACGAAACTCGTAGCCTTCATATACATTTTCAACCACGTTTCAGAAATTCCGCCCACTGATCCCATCCGACTTACCGATTACAGCTTCAATGAAATTTCAATTTCGTACTTTAACGTTTCTAAAATATCCCTACGCTTCAAATATTTAAATACATTTTCATGATTTCATAGACGATTCGGAATTAACTCGTCAAGCTTTCAGCGGTGCTTCCCTCTTTCTTCTTCTTTTTTTCGCGACGCGACGCGACGGAACAATCTGGCGCGGATTTGAGAAGCAAAACTGCCAATCATCGAGTAAATTCCAACAACGTCAGCGCACGAATCAAACGATAGAATTTATCTGGCCCCGTAATATACCCGGTATAATATCTGTCGAGAGTGCGAATGTAAACAGCCACATAAAGAATGGTTTTTATGAATTTCGAATTCGTAAGCGACACTCACCGAGCTTCGGCTTGTACACAGCTAGAACATCCACACGCGTTCAGCGCAGTCGATGGTGAACGCTATTGCTCGTCGCGATCCCTGGAAATAGAATGTAAACTTTATAGGGAGAGGAACGAAACGCGTGAATACGAGAAGATAAAAAAAGAGGACAAATAAGAGAACGACGTTTTACTCGTTCGCGGCCTTAATCCTTTCGGTACGAGTGCCGAAATATATCCGGCGTCCATGTGACAGCCTGTATGCACGAGTGCCATAATTGTTTACTGCAATAGTAATAACTTGTGAAGCGAAGGACAACTTTTTATAGAAACAAAAATGCTCGCAGGTATACAGCACCCACCATAAATAGTACCGTAATATAAGTCTTTACCCATCATAAATTGCAAAATTTAACTTCATAAGGCTTACTACCGTTGCAGATTCAAGATCTCCTTGAACAATGCACTCTCCGAGATATAAAAGCACTCGCTCGACACATTTCACTACAGTCATTTTCTAACAGTTCTTTATCAGTATTCTTGTCTGTCAGTTCGATCCCGTCACAGTAAACGCGAACAAGTATTGCCAGAATGAAATCTCGTGATTTTGTTAATCACGCATATTAGTCGATCAAGAAAACTACGT